GAGTAACTTCTCCCCCTTCTGAAGAACAGGAGCAGAAGCAAGATGGGTATCCCCATGCCCAGCTGTGAGAGGCTTTGAAAAGGTTCATGACTCGTGCAGGGACGCTTTCTGGGGAGAGCAGGGTGGCCCCCCAAGCTGTCTATGGATGGCTTGTGGAAGTGGGGAAAGGAGGCTGGCTCTGAGGTTGCATTATGGTTGAGGGGTGGGCCAGGAGGGGGTTCCCATGCATGATCTAGGGCTTGCCCAGCACCCAAGGAAGGAGCACTCAGGCTTTTTCATCAGTTTGCTCAGAGATGGAACCAAAAGGAAGGGGAGCACTGAAGTTTGAAATCTGTCAGCAAACATAAAAAATGGAGCAATAGCTCTATGTTATTAGAGTCATAATATGTCATAGAGTTATTTCTAACTCTATGATACAATAGTTAGAAATGGAAGGAAGCCTAGTGTATCAGTTGCTACAGTAAGATTGTGATGTTATAATAATGTTACATAATAAGCAATCCCCAAATCATATCAGCTGTCCTGTCTGAAATCCTAAAAGATGAGGCTGTTAAAGCGCTGCACTTGGTATGTCAGCAAGTTTGGAAAACTCAGCAGTGGCCACAGGACTGGTAAATGTCAGTTTTTATTCTAATCCCAAAGAAGGGCAATGCCAAAGAATGTTCAAACTACTGTATAATCGTGCTCATTTCACATGCTAGCAAGGTTATACTCAAAATCCTTCAGACTAGGCTTCAGCAGTATGTGAACTGAACACTTACAGATGTACAAGCTAGGTTTAGAAAAGGCAGAGGAACCAGCGATCAAACTGCCAACATTCATTGGGTCATAGAAAAAGCAAGGAAATTACAGAGAAACATTACTTCTGCTTCATTGACTATTTTAAAGCCTTGACTGTGTGGATCACAGCAAACTGTGGAAAATTCTGAATGAGATGAGAATATCAGAACATCTTACCTGTCTCATGGGAAACCTGTATGCAGGTCAAGAAGCAACATTTAGAACTGGACATGGAACAACATGTTCAAAACTGGGAAAGGAGTAAGACAAGGCTATAAATGGTCACTCTGTTTATTTTACGAATAAGTAGAGTACATCATGTGAAATGCCAGGCTGGATGAATTACAAGCTGGAATCAAGATTGCCCCGAGAAATATCAACAACCTCAGATATGCAGGGGAGAAGGCAATGGAAGCCCACTCCAGTCCTCTTGCCTGGAAAATCCCATGGACGGAGAAGCCTGGTAGGCTGCAGTCCATGGGGTCACTAAAGAGTCAGACAGGACTGAGAGGCTTCACTTTCACGTTTCACTTTCATGCATTGGAGAAGGAAATGGCAACCCACTCCAGTGTTCTTGCCTGGAGAATCCCAGGGACGGGGGAGCCTGGTGCCCTCTATGGGGTCACACAGAGTTGGACATGACTGAAGTGACTTAGCAGCAGCAGATATGCAGATGACACCACTGTAATGATAGAAAGTGAAGAGGAACTGAAGAGCCTCTTGATGAGGGTTAACAAGGAGAGTGAAAAAGCTGGCTTAAAACTCAGCATTCAAAAAAGTAAGATCATGGCATCCTGTCCCATCACTTAATGGCAAATAGAAGGGGAAAAAAATAAAAACAGTGACAGATTTTATTTTCTTGGTCTCCAAAATCATTGCAGATGATGACTGTGGTCTTGAAATTAAAAGACACTTGCTCCTTGGAAGGAAAGCTATGACAAACCTAGATGGCATATTAAGAAGCAGAGACATCACTCTGCTGATAAAGGTCTTTATAGTCAAAGCTATGGTTTTTCCAGTAGTCATGTATGGATGTGAGAGTTGGACTATAAAGAAAACTGAGCACTGAAGAATTGATGTTTTTGAACTGTGGTGTTGGAGAAGACTCTTGAGAGTCCCTTGGACGGCAAGGAGATCAAACCAGTCAGTCCTACTATGAATATTCATTAGAAGGACTAATGCTGAAGTTCCAATACTTTGGCCACCTGATTTGAAGAGCTGACTCATTGCAAAAGACCCTAATTCTGGGAAAGATTGAAAGCAAAAGGAGAAGGGGGCGATAGAGGATGAGATGGTTGGATAGCATTACCACTCAATGAACATGAGTTTGAGCAAACTCTGGGAGATACTGAAGGATAGGGAAGCTTAGCATGCTACAGTCCAAGAGGTTGCAGAGAGTCAGACACAACTTAGCAACTGAACAACAAAATCTTAAAGGCATGCCAAAAAAAAAAAAAGTTGTTGTTCTCATGGCTGGAATCAACAAGACAGCTCTGCTGATCTTGCCAGAACATATTCACCTGGGTAAGTCAGCTGTAAGTGGATCTCAGCTGGCTTTGCCTAGGATGACTTGTAACTCAGCTCTGCTCCATGTCTTAACCTCCAACAAGCTAGTGCAGCCACACTATCGAGGCAAAGGCAAAAGTGGCATAGTAAGCCAGTCCAGTTACAGTTTAAACTTCTGTTTGTAGGAGTTTTGCTACATTTGTATTGACCAAAAAAGCTACATATCTAAGCCGAGAGCTACAGCAGGAAAACAAAAGCTGTATGGACAAAAAGAGTGAAGCACTGGGGCCATTTTTGCAATCTATAGTAACAAATATATTACTAACGTATCACAACCTCCTACCCTACTTTACTAAGAGAAAGTCAGTTCAATGAGCTACTCACTATCAAGTGCCAGAACTGTCCTTGAAATTGGGACTATAAAAAATAAATGAGATACTACTACAGAGTTTGCAGTTTGTTACTTGGAGGAAATTAAATAAATTAGCACATTATTAAGATAAAATTCAGTGTGGTAAGTATAACACCAGATAGTTTAATGAAGTGGCACAGAAAAGACACCGATTAACTCTTTTGCCTCCTTTACCATATATTTCACAGCCAATTTAATAGATTTTTATGGAAATTAAATTTCCTCCTGATTCTGAGGACATGAAGAAAATGCTGACTGTGATTCCCCAAAGAATAGCCTCATAAAATTACATAAAAATCCTCTTTAAAAACAAAACTAAATTGTAAGTTCTATCAGGCTAGCAGAAAGGCATTTGATTCTTTTGTTGCTCAATTACACTTAGTACTCATCTAGTTTCAACCAAAATTTATTGTATGCCTACCTGTGCAAGCTATTTTTCTGGGAATCTGCTGGGATTTGGGGAGGCCTGGGAAAGAGGACTAAACAAAGATGATTTAAAAATATGGTATCTGCCTTCAAATAACTTCCAGCTTAGTCCTACTTACTCTGAAGTCCATTGTATAAAACATATACAAGCAAAGCTGTTGGGCTTAAAGTAGAAGTTGGGAGTCTGGAGCCCCCTGTATCCCAGGCCACTCCTGAGGACACTGTCTGGAGGCTTGAAGACTCTGCGTGCGTGCTCAGTCGTGTCTGATTCTTTGTGACCCCATGGACTGTAGCCCTCCAGGCTCCTCTGTCCATGAGATTTCCCAGGCAAGAATACTGGAGTGGATTGCCATTTCCTTCTCCAGGGCATCTTCCCAACCCAGGGATCGAACTTGCACCTCCTGCATTGGCAGATGGATTCTTTACTACTGGGGCCACCTGGGAAGCCCAAGTCTAAGCCATCTCACTGCGGTCACACTGCAGAAACATGTGCCCTTGTCTCTTCAGTCTCTCCCATTTGTAGACATACGGTGACCCACTCCATACAGAAACTTTAGTGTAACATGGCATTAAATGAAGCCCGAACTAGAATATGGTAGACCTCGAATATATATAATAGAAAGGAACTCTGACTATAGCTCACAAATTTCCAGGTCATCAGCTGTAAATGGAATCATAACTGGAGTTACTCTAGTACAGTTTGGGAATAAGATGATGAGTTAATCTTCCAGCTTGTGGCAGTGTGTGGCTTATTCTTAAACTTTGAAATGGAATTCTTTGAGACTTAAAGAAAGGGATATAAATACATTGCTGGATTTTCTCCATTAGTCAAGATTGTTTATGAGGGGAAAGTTTACCATTGTTCTGAAATATTTTTTCCTCTAGTTAATCCACATTATTTTTAGGGGGCTTTGCCTAGAAGGAAGGCTAATTCCTTATGTTCCTTCCCTCTCTTTTAGGTCCTACTCCGATAGCTTTAAACTGTCACTTGGAATCTTTTGGGAGGGTGAAACAGAAGTGGGCAGACAAGTATTTGGAAAATAAATTCTCCATAAAACTCTACCATCCTATAAATGGTTCTGTCTGGATAGATTCCTTGAGATGTGTTTTATTTCCATTAAAAACTCAAAATCTTTGAAACATTCACTGTTCACATCCCAAAGCCTGATGGGGAAAATATTCATCATCTGAAGTATTCAAGACAAGCTTGAAGAAATAAAAGAGACGAATTGTTCACCGGACCACCTTGGGAGGCAGAAGTTCGCGCAGGGCCCAAGACGGGTGTTAAAAGCTTGTCCAAACAATGTTCCGGTCAGAAAAGAAGAGGTGGGGAAGGACGGTGCCCAAAGCTAGCGGGCCAGTGTCATTTTCTGCTTCCTTTGCCCCCCTCTTCTCCTTCTTCGCTGTCCTGCGTGTCCTCACTTTCTTGCCAGCCCCATCCTCGCTCTTCCCACCCTCCCAACTTCCTCGTCCGTCCCGGGCCGGCGACCACGCCCACCTCCCCAGAACCGAGTCGGGCGGAGGGGGGCCCCTTCTCGTCCCCGGTCCCCACGCTCACGCCTTTCTCTCCGCCGCTCCGGCCACCCCCACACTTCCCGGCCAAAGGGGATCCTGGCCAAGGGGGCCGCCCCGGCCTCGGCCCTTCCCCGCCCCGGCCGGCCGGACCATAAAGCGCGCAGCCCTGCCGCCAGCGCACCCAGCACCGCGGCGCCAGGACGCGAGCGCGGCCCCCGACGGCTGCCCGGACGCCGCCGCGCTCGTCTCACCTGCGCCGCCCGCGGGAAGCCCGACTCGGGGCCGCGCGCCGCCCGCACGCCCAGGCGGGGCCCCCGCTGCCGAGACTCCCGCGCGCCCGCGGGGAGCGCGGAGAGCCAACATGCTGGCCCCGCGCGGAGCCACCGTCCTCCTGCTGCACCTGGCCCTGCAGCCCTGGCTGGGGGCCGGCGCCCAGGCCACCCCGCAGGGTAAGTGGGTGCGGGCCGGGCTCCGGGCCACCGAGCCCGCCGTCCCGCAGCTCCGCTGGGGCGAACGGGGGGACCAGCCCCGCGCGCTGCTCCGCCCTTGGCTCCTGGGTCCCTCTGGGCACCTCTCTCTGGCCCGAGGCAAAGAGTATTGTGCTTGGAATAGGTCATTAGAGATTAGAATTTTCGGAGGTTCGATTAACCGGCGGTGAGATCAACTCCCTGTACAATAGTTGGGGGGTGGGGTGTAAAATTTATTTTCAATCTAGGCAAAGAGGTGGGGTTCACTTCCAAGCTTGTAGCGCGGCCCTAGACCTCGAGCACGTCGCGTCTGGAGTACCGGGAAATCTGGGTTCCCTGCCCTGCGGCACTGTGGTCCGCCTCCCCTCAGCGATGACACCCTAAAGCCTTCGACGTTAGCCTCGTCTGAGGCCACATACCCAAGAAAGGTGCAGTATTTTACTCTGTTGCCCTGCCACTAACCTTTTTCTGCTCCAGCTCTGCTGGGGCTTTGGGAGTTGGCCTTGATCTCTTGATTCTGGAGGTAAATTGAACAGGAAGGCTAAGAAATGGGTCTTTCTCTACAGAGGTTAAAAATTCGATAAATAACTTGAAAAGCACTTGGATAATCAATCTTCAAACCCCTTTGTGAAAAGAGCCGTTGTGCAGAAAGCACTTAAGCTTAAATAGAATTTTGGGAAGACCGAAAGGAAAAAGGTATTTAACCAAGAAAAGATCTTAGGGCTCTAATTGGCTAGCCAGTGATAGCCTTCATCTGTTTGAAATTGATGCCTGGGGTTAATTTCTTTCCGGCTAAGGAAATAAAACTTGAAGTAAAAATTGCTATTTCTAGGAAGCCAGAATGGAGATTGCTTGTCCTGGCCCTTTCCCCTCCCACTGCAGTAATTACCCGTTTAAACTTTGCATTTCACCGAGTAACTCATTCTGATTCCAGACTGGGAGACCAGAATTGTATTGTCAGGGGGTACTGAACTACTTTTAGTTTGAGTTGAAATGTTTAAAACGGTGTAGTTTATTCATTGTAACCTTGCTTCTGGGGAGATAAGAAAGGAAACCTTTAAAAAAAATTTAATGTATAATTGGCATATAATGTTATGTTAGTTTCAAGTGTATAACATAATGATTTGATGATTGTATACATAGCAAAACATTCACCTCAAGTCTAGTTAATATCTGTGGCCACACATGGCTGCAGTTTTTTTCCTTGTGATGAGGACTTTAAGATCTACTCTCTTAGCAACTCTCAAATATGCAATACAGTACTGTTAACTGTAGTCGCCAGCCTGTACGTTACATCCCCACGGCTTATTTTATAACTAGAAGTTTGTCCCTTTTGGCCTTCTCCATCTATTTCACCCCCACAACCACCACTCCCACTTCTGGCAACCATTAGTCTGTTCTCTGCATTCTATGAGATTCTTCTTGTTTGTTTGTTTTTAAGATTCCACATGTGAGATCGTACGTAATTTGTTTTTCCCCCACCTGACTTAATTGCACTTAGCATAATACCCATGAAGTCCATCCATGTTGTTATAAATGGCAAGATTTCATTCCTTTTTTATGATTGTATAATACTCTATCATATATGTGTCTATACACATATATATGTCATTTTCTTTATCCATTCATCCATTGATAGACACAGGTTGTTTTCATATCTTGGCTATTATAAATAGTGCTGTGATGAATAACTCCATGTATCTTTTGGAGTTAATGGCTTCATTTTCTTTGGATAAATACCCAGGGGTAGAATTGCTGGATCATTGATGCTTTTGAACTGTGGTGTTGGAGAAGACTCTTGAGAGTCCCTTGGACTGCAAGGAGATCCAACCAGTCCATCCTAAAGGAGATAAGTCCTGGGTGTTCATTAGAAGGACTGATGCTGAAGCTGAAACTCCAATACTTTGGCCACCTCATGTGAAGAGTTGACTCATTGGAAAAGACCCTGATGCTGGGAGGGATTGGGGGCAGGAGGAGAAGGGGACGACAGAGGATGAGATGGCTGGATGGCATCACCGACTTGATGGGCATGAGTTTGAGTAAACTCCGGGAGTTGGTGATGGACAGGGAGGCCTGGTGTCCTGAGATTCATGGGGTCGTAAAGAGTCAGACACGACTGAGCAACTGAACTGAATTGATGGTAGTTCTATTTTTCATTTTTTGAGAAACCTTCATACTGTTTTCCATAGTGACTGCACCAACTTGCATTCCCACCAGTGGTGTACAAGTGTTCCCTTTTACCCACATTCTCACCAACACTTGTTGTTTCTTGTCTTTTTAATAATAGCCATTCTAACAGGTGTAAGGTAACATGTCACTATGGTTTTGGTTTGCATTTCTCTGGTTATTAGTGATGTTGGGCATCTGTTCATGTATACGCTGGCTGTTGTCTTCTTTGGGGAAAAGTTTGTTTGGATTTTCTGCCCAATTTTAAATATGTTTGGTTGTAGTTCTTTGTTGTTTTGCTTGTCTTTTCTGTTGAGTTGTATGAATTCATTATGTGTTTTGGATATTAACCCCTTACAGCAGAACTGTGATGTGCAGATATTTTCTACCACTCTATAGGTTGCCTTTTCATTTCACTGGTTTCCCTTGCTGTGTAGACGCCTTTTAGTTTGATGTAGTCTCACTTGTTTACTTTTCTTTGTTGCCTTTGCTTTTGGTGTCAGAAGGAAGCTTTTTAACATAATTCAAAAACTTTCTTATTGAAAACATTATTTAACAGGTTTGAATTCGTGGGTCTAATATTTTGTGTTACTCAATTTCTTGACATTTGAACACGCAACTTCATGGTGTGCAGCTATGGATGTTGCTTCTCCTGAGACAGAGCTGCCTGTTTTGTGGAGACTTGAAATCAGGCTTTACCTACATTATCTGGTTAATTTAATTGCTGTAGATGATCTGATTAAGTCAAATTTCTGATAGATTCCTTTATTGAATTGATTAGTCTTGGGTTGTAAGCTCAGCTGAAAAATTTTCTCGTTTCCTTTTTCCTCTGAGCTGCCTTACTAGTCCTTTTTTTTTTTTTTGCTGGATCACATCATTTCCTTACTAGTCTTATTAGTAAGTATTTGATCTTCATGACATGGTGGTTGGGCTTATTGGTAGCAGTAATTTCACCTGTAACACTAGAAGATTGTGCTTGGATCTTGGCACTATTACTGAAGTGTAATAACATGAATAGAAACTTGGAGTGCCTCATTGCCTTTTCAGAATGCTCTCCAACCTCATTACGAACTAATCCCAACTCTGCCTCTTGAGAGAGAAACAGTGGATTAGAAGAACCATACAAATTGAAATGTGGTTGATTTAGTTTGAGGTGAATTATGAAGTAATCATGGTCAAAGCAAGAATCAGGAATTCCAAGAGTTTAGTTCTGCATGCAGTTCCCGTCCTTGAAACACACATCTCTTTCCTGAAGATGTTTTTACCTAGAGGGAACTTTTAAATGTTATCTTATTTCCCTTCTCTTTCACTGGTGAAAATATAAAGTTTCCAGTTCTCTGTAAGTGTAAAAATTCTCCACCCCCTCTTGAAGTATACTGGGCAGCAATCCTTACGTTTGGGGAATGTGGGACGCAAGAAAGAACATAATAGATAATCTGCTTTGCAACACTGCTGGTGCTAATTTCATTATTGTGAAAGGTTCTCAGTATACATGAAAGCATACAGATCCAACCTGAAGACAGATCATCTTATAAAAAGAGTAGACATTCCTAAGTAACTAGGCTTTTACCTATTTCTTTTATAACTATTTTTTCTTACAAAAGTAATACATCTTAATTGTAAAAAAAAAACAAAACAGAAAATTGGATAAACAAAAGAAAAGGAAGTTTAAAACGTAAATATAATCATACAGCCCAGACATAGGTACTATTCATGTTAGCATTTTGTCATATTGCTTTTCATTTCTTTTTGTAGTTCAGTTCAGTCACTCAGTCGTGTCCGACTCTTTGCGACCCCATGGACTGCAGCACGCCATGCTTCCCTGTCCATCACCAAATCCCAGAGTTTACTCAAACTCATGTCCATTGATTCGGTGATGCCATCCAACCACCTCATCCTCTGTCATCCCCTTCTCCTCCTACCTTCAATCTTTCCCAGGATCAGGGTCTTTTCAATGAATCAGTTCTTCCCATCAGGTGGCCAAAGTATTGGAGTTTTAGCTTCAGCATCAGTCCTTCCAGTGAATATTCAGGACTGATTTCCTTAGGATGGACTGGTTGGATCTCCTTGTAGTTCAAGGGACTCTCAAGAGTCTCCTCCAATGCCACAGTTCAAAAGCATCAATTTTTCAGTGCTCAACTTTTTTTATAGTCCAGCTCTCACATCCATACATTATTACTGGAAAACCCATAGCTTTGACTAGATGGACCTTTGTTGGCAGAGTAATGTCTCTGCTTTTTAATATGCTGTCTTGGTTGGTCATAGCTTTTCTTCCAAGGAGCAAGCGTCTTTTAATTTCATGGCTGCAGTCACCATCTGCAGTGATTTTGGAGCCCAAGAAAATAAAGTCTGTCACTGTTACCATTGTTTCCCCACCTATTTGCTATGAAGTGATGGGACCAGATACCAAGATCTTAGTTTTTGAACGTTGAGCTTTAAGCCAGCTTTTTCACTCTCTTCTTTCACTTTCATCAAGAGGCTTTTTAGTTCTTCGCTTTCTGCCATAAGGGTGGTATCATCTGTATATCTGAGGTTATTGATATTTCTCCTGGCAATCTTGATCCCAGCTTGTGCTTCATCCAGTCCAGCGTTTCTCATGATGTACTCTGCATAAAAGTTAAATAAGTAGGGTGACAGTATACAGCCTTGATGTACTCCTTTCCCAATTTCAAACCAGTCTGTTCCATGTCCAGTTCTAACTGTTCCTTCCTGACCTGCATATAGATTTCTCAAGAGGCAGGTCAGATGGTCTGGTATTCCCATCTCTTTAAGAATTTTCCACAGTTTGTTGTGATCCACACAGTCAAAGGCTTTGGCACAGCCAATAAAGCAGTAGTAGATGTTTTTTTGGAACTCTCTTGCTTTTTCGATGACCCAGAAGATGTTGGCAGTTTGATCTCTGGTTCCTCTGCCTTTTCTAAATCCAGCTTGAACATCTGGAAGGTCACGGTTCATGTACTGTGGAAGCCTTGCTTGGAGAATTTTGAGCATTACTTTGCTAGCGTGTGAGATGAGTACAATTGTGTGGTAGTTTGAGCATTCTTTGGCATTGCCTTTCTTTGGGATTAGAATGAAAGCTGACCTTTTCCAGTCCTGTGGCCACTGCTGAGTTTTCCAAATTTGCTATCATCTTGAGTTCATCTTTTAGGATTTGAAATAGCTCAACTGGAATTCCATCACCTCCACTAGCTTTGTTCATAGTGATGCTTCCTAAGGCCCACTTGACTTCGCATTCCAGGATGTCTGGCTCTAGGTGAGTGATCACACCATCGTGATTATCTGGGTCCTCAAGATCTTTTTTGTATAGTTCTTCTGTGTATTCTTGCCACCTCTTCTTAACATCTTCTGCTTCTGTTAGGTTCATACCATTTCTGTCCTTTATTGTGCCCATCTTTGCATGAAATATTCCCTTGGTATCTCTAATTTTCTTGAAGAGATCTCTCGTTTTCCCCATTCTATTGTTTTCCTCTATTTCTTTGCATTGATCTCTGAGGAAGGCTTTCTTTTTTTTTTTTTCCATTTATTTTTATTAGTTGGAGGCTAATTACTTTACATCATTGCAGTGGTTTTTGTCATACATTGAAATGAATTAGCCATGGATTTACATGTATTCCCCATCCCGGTCCCCCCTCCCACCTCCCTCTCCGCCCTATCCCTCTGGGTCTTCCCAGTGCACCAAGTCCGAGCACTTGTCTCATGCACCCAACCTGGGCTGGCGATCCGTTTCACCCTAGATAATATACATGTTTCGATGCTGTTTTCTTGAAACATCCCACCCTCGCCTCCTCCCACAGAGTCCACAAGTCTGTTCTATACATCTGAGTCTCTTTTTCTGTTTTGCATATAGGGTTATTGTTACCATCTTTCTAAATACCATATATATGTGTTAGTATACTGTAATGGTCTTTATCTTTCTGGCTTACTTCGCTCTGTATAATGGGCTCCAGTTTCATCCATCTCATTAGAACTGATTCAAATGAATTCTTTTTAATGGCTGAGTAATATTCCATGGTGTATCTGTACCACAGCTTCCTCATCCATTCGTCTGCTGATGGGCATCTAGGTTGCTTCCATGTCCTGGCTATTATAAACAGTGCTGCAATGAACATTGGGGTGCACGTGTCTCTTTCAGACCTGGTTTCCTCGGTGTGTATGTCCAGAAGTGGGATTGCTGGAGAGGAAGGCTTTCTTATCTCTCCTTGCTATTCTTTGGAACCCTGCATTCAAATGGGTATATCTTTCCTTTTCTCCTTTGCCTTTAGCCTCTGTTCTTTTCTCAGCTATTTGTAAGGCCTCCTCAGACAACCATTTTGCCTTTTTGCACTTCCTTTTCTTGGGGATGGTCTTGATCTCTGCCTCCTGTACAATGTCACGAACATCTATCCATAGTTCTTCAGGCACTCTGTCTATCAGATCTAATCTATTTGTCACTTCCACTGTATAATTGTAAGGGATTTGATTTAGGTCTTACCTGAATGGTCTAGTGGTTTTCCCTACTTTCTTCAATTTAAGTCTGAATTTGGCGATAAGGAGTTCATGATCTGAGCCACAGTCAGCTCCCGGTCTTGTTTTTGCTGACTGTATATAGCTTTTCCATCTTTGGCTGCAAAGAATATAATCAATCTGATTTCAGTGTTGACCAGTTGGTGGTGTCCATGTGTAGAGTCTTCTCTTGTGTTGTTGGAAGAGGGTGTTTACTATGACCAGTGTGTTCTCTTGGCAAAACTCTATTAGCCTTTGCCCTGCTTCATTCTGTACTCCAGGGCCAAGTTTGCCTGTTACTCCAGGTATCTCTTGACTTCCTACTTTTGCATTCCAGTCCCCTAAAATGAAAAGGACTTCTTTTTTGGGTGTGTGTTCTAGAAGGTCTTGTAGGTCTTCATAGAACCGTTCAACTTCAGCTTCTTCAGCATTACTAGTTGGGACATAGACTTGGATTACTGTGATAATCTTTGTCCCTTTAATATGTCATGAGCATCTTTCCCTTGTAAGTATTCAGCTGTGTAACCCTTTTTAATAGATAGTATTCCTCTTTTGGGGTGGACCAAAATTTCCTGGGTAGCTCAGCTGGTAAAGAATCTGCCTGCAATGCAGGAGACCCCAGTTCAATTCCTGGGTCGGGAAGATCCCCTGGAGAAGGGATAGGCTACCCACTCCAGTATTTTTGGACTTTCCTCATGGCTCAGCTGGTAAAGAATCCGCCTGCAATGTGGCAGACCTGGGTTCTATCCCTGGGTTGGGACCAGTATGTTAGCCTGGAGAATTGTCATGGACAGGGAAGCCTGTCTGGCTACAGTCCATGGGGTCGCAAAGAGTTGGATGAGACTAAGCACAGCATAAAATATATTTAGCCAGGGCTCTAGGGTAGGACACTTGATTGTTTCCAGTGTTTTGAAATTGTAAATAATTTATTGAACATTTGCAGTGCCACAGGATGACTTAGGATGGCTGAACCCTTGTAATCTCTGTCAAACCCTACTATCTCTGGTAAAGAGAGGTAAAATGCTATGCCAGCAAAGATCCAAGGGTCCCACCTCTTCCAATTAGATTTTCACGTAACTCCTTCGTATATAGAAGCTTTGGAATTAACACTGGTGGTGAATCTCCTTGTACCTAAATACATTACTGTGTTATCCATTATTGTCTTAAGATAAATTCCTTTAGCAGAGTCACTAACTCAAAGAGCATGTGTGTCTTAGGGTCTTTGATACTGTTTTTTAAACTGGCTTCAAAGTGTTTATTCTAGTGTAAATTTTTACCCACCGGTATGTGAGTACCCAGTTCTCCGAATTCTCACCGACAGTTGGCTATTGTTGTATTTATTGTTTTTTCAGTTTGACGTTTGTTTATTTATGTATGGCCGTGCTCTGTCTTTTTTGCTGGGCAAGGGCTGTCTCTGGTTGCGGGGAGCAGGGCTCCCCTCCCTTGCCCTGTGGAGGCTTCTCTGGTTGAGCACAAGCTCTTGGCACACAGGCTTCAGTAGTTGCAGTGTGTGGGCTCCTTAGTTCTGCCCTGCGAGCTCTAGAGCGCTGGCTCAGCAGTTGTGGCATACGCATTTAGTTGCCCTGCAGCATGTGGGATCTTCTCAGAGCAGGGATCGAACCAGGGTCCCCTGCATTGGCAGGTATATTCTTAACTGGACCACCAGGGAAGCCCTGCCTTCAGGTTTAAGTTAGCAATTCCTTCATCGTTAGTTAAACCTGTGAACACATTATTTATGTACTCATTCACCTTTGTAATAGCTTTTCTGTAAGTTGTTTTTTCATGTTATATGCCCATTTTTTTTTTCTGTTAGGGTGCTTATTTCATTGATTTGTAAGAACTCTTTATAAATTACGAATACTATGACCGTCTTTAGTAACCGGATTATTATATCCAGAAAACAGCTCTGGAGCCTGAAGTTCTTGCAGGCTGTGGAATTGTTCAAACAATTTTGCATAAACCAAAAGAAATACTAGGTAACTGTCTAGCCAGAGTTACCCAAATTTGGCCTTTGCCTTTGAAATTAACTGGACACACTTTTCTTTATACCTTTCATAAAGTTTAAAAGAGCAGCTGGCTTGTATCAAAAGCAACTTGTACAATATAAATTTAGATTCTACATTTTGTAGACCAACTCTGTTGGGTTACAGTCAAGAAATAGAAAGTACGTTGTACTGTTTTGTTTCTATTTTGTTTCCACATTGTCAGAGTCACAATGTCTTAGCAGAGAAATATTGGAGAACTGTAAATGCACAAAGGCACACTTAGGTCCTACAAAGATAGCAAATTGTTTTGTTGACACTGTATCTCTCACCACACCCATGCTTTATGTGGCATTCCCCCGTTGTCATTTATTACTGACCAAGAATAGACAGTGGATTTGGTCCAGGAGGCACATGAGGGATCCCAAGGCAGAAATTCACTACTAAGGGACATAAGGAAAACAATGACTTGGATACTCTTACCTGTATGCATGCATGCATGCTAAGGCTGCTTTAGTCATGTCCAGCTCTCTGTGATCCCATGGACTGTAGCCCGCCAGGCTCCTCTGTCCATGGGATTCTCCAGGCAGGAATACTGGAGTGGGTTGTCATGCCCTCCTCCAGGGGATCATCCCAATCCAAGGGATGTCTCTTCTGTCTCCTATGTTGGCAGGTGGGTTCTTTACCACTAGCCCCACCTGGGAAGCCCATGTTCTTTCCTGATTCCCCACATACTAAACATTTAGTGTTTTTCCTGATGGGCATTTTCAGAGTCACTTCTTCAGGCAAAATGGGTTTGCAAATTTTGTCTTCTCTTGGGGTCTATAACTTGGTGATGAATATTGTGCTATATTTCTTCTGGCTCAAATATCCAGTCACTGTAGAGTGATAAGAGAGAACGGGTGAGTTTGACAATGTGGAAAAATGATTATAATATCAGTTTAATTTATTGCTTACTGTGAAAATTATTCCCCCTCAAAAAAAACCCAAACAAACCACATTTGTCCCTAAGTTAAACCTTTCACTGATTGTCCTTGTCTTCCCATTCTCCCCAGTCTTTGACCTTCTCCCATCTGCCAGCCAGAGGCTGAACCCAAGTGTTCTGCAGCCAATCCTGACAGACCCCACTCTGAACGAGCTCTATGTGATCTCCACCTTCAAGCTACAGTCGAAAAGCTCAGCCACCATCTTCGGCCTTTACTCTTCAGCTGACCACAGCAAATATTTTGAATTTACTGTCATGGGACGCTTAAACAAAGGTAAGCAAGTTTGTAGAAATCATTTTCTTAAAGATCCTCTCTGCCTCTTCCAGAATTTGGGGGGGGGGTCTTCTTTCCTTTAGGTGGTTCCATCCACCATTCATTTCAACTTTCAATACCAAATTCTTCTAATTGTACATTTACCTGTACAGGGAGGGTGAGTTGATATCTGGAGAAAGAAGGAAGACTTGCTTATGGCCAAAATGTGCTTTGGGATTGCCCCATCCTCATGTTATTCTGGATCCAGTTCCTGAAGGGACAGGACCCAGGGCAATTAAGTCACTATGTTAGTTCAATCTGCTGTAACACATACCATAAACTCCATAAAGTTTGTGGCTTAAGCAATAGACTTTAATTTCCCATAGTACCGGAGACTGGTAAGTCCAAGGTCAAGCTGCCAGCAGATTGGGTGCCTGGTGAGAGCCTGTGTGCTGGCTTGTAAATGGCCACCTTCTCACTTTGTCCTCACGTGGCCTTCCCTCGGTGTGTGCTGGTGGGGAGAGAGAAAGAGAAAGCTCTGTCTTCCTTTTCTTATACGGGCACTGATGCCTTCAGGAGGGCCCTACCCTCATGACCTCATCTAAACCGAACTACCTCCCAGAGGTCCACTTCCTAATACCGTGACGCTGAGGACCAGGGCTTCAACATGTGAATTTGAGGGCAATATTTGAGCCTGTAATAGCCACTCACCCCATCCTTCGTGATCAAGTAGAGGCATGTGGTAGCCTTAACTCCTAGCTCTGCGAGCTGCGCCAGGACTTGATGGAGACAATACATCTCACAGGTGGAACCAAATGAACGGCTCTCTTTTCTACCTGTTTTGTGCCAGTTTACACAGATCTGTCACTTGGTTGTTCCCCCTGCTGTCAAATGTTTCGCTGTCAAAGTGAGTTACTACGGTATACTAAGAATGACTCCCGAAGAAGAAGGTCACTGTTTTTCCATCTCCTCTTCTACCCGTGCCCTGGGGACATCACCTGTTCCTGCTTATTGAGGAATGTGACAGATACGTGTCTGTGCTGCCTGATGTTTTTAATAAAAAAAAAAAAAAAAAGAGGAGGATTGGTCCTTCCTGCAGAGATTTTTTATTTATTTCTGTTTGCTTTACAAAGGAGATCCTTGGAGCACTTCAGACTCTCTCAGACTCTAATTGTGATTGAACACTTAAAGCTGCAGGTGTTAGGAACTGAAAGAAACTCCTAATTCTTAGCGTTCGTGGGACAATAGAGTTAAAAGTCAAAAGGAATGGGCTTTTAGTGCCTTCTTTTATGTCAGTTTCCAGTATCCTCCTTCCCTTCCCTCCTCCCACTCCCCCCCCCCCCAACGCTCAAGTCTGCTTTCTCGGTTCCCCTTGGCCTCTCAGGGGCCGGGGTGTGGTTTCAGTTCATGGAAGGAGTTGGGGACCTGGTTCGTGATTTAGCCGATGGTTCAACCATTCCTGCTCCCTTTGCCCCACCTGAAGCCATGTTGGGAGGTCAATCCCCCCATCTCTCTACCTTGCTTCTGATAACCCCATTTTGCCTCGGATCTACTGAAGGAACAGCTCGTCTTCTGAGAACCCAAGCTTCTCAGTTTATATAAAAACCACCCTGCTCTTTAGAGGAGGAGCTTCCCTTTTAGGAAGCTATCTAAACTATTTTAAATGCTCTGGAAGGTTTCTCTTTTAGCTCACTCAGCTTAGTGGCTAAAAGGCCCTCTGTAGAGTGAAAAACTCTGCCTCTAGGTTTTCACTCTCACTGAATCTCACTCTACTTCTAAATCTGCCATAGTGGAAAAACAGGAAGAAACTTACCCCCTCCGCCTGAACTGATTTCTTTCTATTTGCTCCGTAGAGGCTGGGGGAATGCTAGATGCTTGGGCAGGTAGATGTTTTTCCTTTGAAGAGTCATCAGTGAGTCAGCTGTTATTACCAGCTGATTTCCATGTTAAAGGAGAAAAAAGAGGAAATGATTGTGCATACCTCTCCACCTGCCAGCCTACTAGAAAAGATAAATAGCTCTTAGAAAAAAATATATTTTTAAAAGGAGTCCTAATGCAATTCTCAGAAAACGAAGAGGAATTTATACCGAAATTAGAGTTGGGAGAGTTGAAGAATTTGACATACAAGTTTCCCTGGAGCAGTAGGAGAAAATGCCGAGATTTGCCATCACTGAAAGGTCTCGGAAGGAGCAACAGCACATTCTGACTGGAACAAGAAAGAGAAGTCAGTGATCCATCAGGTCCAAGAAAAAGATGTGGTGTGTGGTTGTAACTCCCTGTGGAGGTGTTCAGAGGCGGTGTTGGGTTGCATCCTGGACACCTGTACGTCTTGTTGCCCAACCTCAAGACTGAACAAAGAGCCCAGAAATGGCAACAGACATCGCTGGTTTACGGGAAAGGGGCTCTTACAAGTCTGCAGCAAAAGGTCCTGGAGAGACATCCCACTGTATCTGGCAGACAGCAGGCAGGACATGGCAGCAATCTTGGCTGTTCAGGGGATACGGAGGTTACCATTTGTAGGGGGAGCTGACATCAGGTTGACTGTCAGTTTCCAGGGAAACCTGCAGCTGGGACACATCTCTCACAGCCCCCTCAGATTAATGACCTCAGATTAATTAAAGGCAGATGTAATGTTACTGAGTCCAAGTTCACTCTGTTCGCCACATGACAGGCCAATGAATCGTGAGACAGGTGTCCAGGCAAGGAATATGACTTTATTCAGAAAGCTGGCAGACGGAGAGGATGGCAGAGTAGTGTCTCCAAAAAATCATCTTTTCAGGGTCTGGATGCCAATTTGTTTTATGGAACAGAGTGGGAGAGGAGGTGAGGAAGTAAAGTAAAAAGGCCACTTATTTTGCAGAGCAGGAGAGGATGTGTTAACTTCTTTTCTGCAGCCAGGCGCAGGTGGGCGGAGTCAGATTGTCATTCTGTGAGCTGAACACAGCCACTTGAACATTCAGGCAGAGGGACAGTGTTCCCTGAGGCAGGCTGTTATCTATGGTTATATTAACAAAAGCAACAGAAAGCAAAGGTTAAAGTCAAAGAAACAGATCCAACAAGAGTCAGAATTGACTCTTCCCTGTTACAGTAATACATTTAGTAAACCAGCTGGTGGAGTTGCCCGAGGATTAGAACAGTCACTAGTTGGGGCAAGGGGTGAGCACATCATCTGAGTAGGGAGTAGGTGAAGCAGGCACCAGGCGAGCAAGGGATCACACAGAGCAGCAGGACGTCTTTGGTGGCCTGACCCTTCGGGTGGCCATGCACCCCTGCTGTGATTTGTGGAGGGTGGGGAAGAATCACCTTCCTGAAAGGTGAACCCCAGTCATCATTCAGCTGACTCAGCTCAGCTGATCTTCATGGAGAATAGTGAAACAGAAGTCAAGATATATCTCTTGTGACTAGAAACGCTGGATTAGGAAATAGGACACATCTTTCCCCCTATGGTTTGGGAGGGGGCGACTGCACGGATGGTATCAAAGAGCAAGGTTTGGTCATCTGGGCCCTAGATGAGCTCCTATGAGAAACTCAAGCATTTCCCATGAGAGCTGCAAAGAATGGAGTTTGCCCCTGGGCTCTCTGTTTCTCTCTAACTATGTTTTTTGGGCTCTAAAATCACTGCAGATGGTGACTGCAGCCATGAAATTAAAAGACGCTTGCTGCTTGGAAGAAAAACTATGACAAACCTAGATAGCATATTAAGTAGTAGAGACATCACATTGCTGACAAAGTTCCATCTAGTCAAAGCTATGGTTTTTTTCAGTAGTCACGTATGGATATGAGAGTTGGAGTATAAAGAAAGCTGAGCACTGATGCTTTTGAACTGTGGTGTTGGCGAAGCCTCTTGAGAGTCCCTTGGACTGCAAGGAGATCCAACCAGCCTGATTTCTAAAGGAGATGTCATTGGAAGGACTGATGCTGAAGCTGAAACACCAATACTTTGGCCACCTGATGCAAAGAACTGACTCATTGGAAAGGACCCCAATGCTGGGAAAGATTGAAGGTGGGAGGAGAAGGGGACGACAGAGGATGAGATGGTTGGATGGCATCACCGATTCAGTGGACATGAGTTTGAGCAAGCTCTGGGAGTTGGTGATAGGGAAGCCTGGCGTGCTGCAGTCCATGGGGTCGCAGAGTTGGACCCAACTGAGCAACTGAACTGAACTCTCTGTTTCTCACTCTCCAAGTCATCTTATCACGGCTGCCTCATTACTGTCCACAAGGCGTAACTTGCATCTAGTTATATCTGACCCCGGAGACCTAGAGAGACTTCCCATCCCCAACTGAGTAAGACAGACACATCCCTGCTGGGCATTCAGGGCTTTCCGCTGCCTGATTTCCAACCAGCCTTTCCAGTTTATCCGTCCTTCCAGCCGTCCACGCAGCCTGTGTTTCCATAGGATGGATTTAACTACGGTTCCCTGGACCCACGCGAGCTGTCTCTCCTCTTCTGTCCTTTTGCTCTTGCCCTCTGCTTGCCCGCGTGTCTCCAGATACTGAAATCTTCCGCATGTAAGGCACATCTCAGACTCCTCCTGACACCTTTCCTTATAACTTTGCACCTCCTCAGAAGGTACCACTCTTAATCTGCCTTGGCTTTGAATGACGTATATGCCTTTTCTCCAGCAGGTTATAAGCCCCCTTCAGGCGGGGACTGAACATCCCTTAACCCGCTTTGTGTCTGCTGCGGCACATAGCGCAGTGCCCGGTACATGCAGTGTCTCATGAAGAGCCTGCGTACAATAAATGGAGGCTGAGAAGAGCAGCTCTGCTAGGAAAACACTTGTGGGAATTCTAGATGCACACAATGTCTGTCACTTAGCAGGTCTGGCTCAGAATCATCTTTGAATGAATGAGTGTTGAAGACCATTTGGATGCAGATGTAAAAGAAATGCAGGTAGTGTCTCTGATAGAAATGATCTATCAGATTATTAGTAACACAGGTGATATAATCTTGATAGAAATGAGCATTCTGTAGAAACCACCTGGGCTGGGTAGAAGATATGATTGATTTTCTTGAA